AAAGTCTTGAAACAGTGTCAGACTCACACTTCTGGGGTGCAAGGATGGGGGGGGATTTGCTGGTGTCTCCCTGAATACAGTTCATGAGTGGCTGGGGAGAGCATTCATGTATTTTACTGGGTATGCCTCTGCACGCTGACGGCTGAGTGAACAGAGCGGGGAATGGGGGGGGTGGAAGAGAGGGGGCAGTTTGCTGTTCACTAGCATAGCAGTGTAGAAGACAGCCTGAGCAGGAGAGTTAAAGGTTCCAAAGTTCAGATTGCACCCTGGGGGATGTCACACCTTCCCAACCCTAAAGCCAATCTAGAGAAACAGAAACCTAGATCTCTGAATTAAACATTGTAAAATCTGTTTTATTACATGGTGCTGGAAGTCGGAGACTTATCAAGACCTTATTATCTAAATTCCAATTTTTATAAACTGCTGCCTTAGACAAATCCTCAACATCAGATGGCCAGAAATAAATCACAAATAAAGAGCTGTGGAGGATGAAACTGATAGGACAGGAAATTATGGAGCAAAAATGGAGATGGCTGGAACACACATAAGGGAAAGAACCAAACAACATAAGATGGGTGCTCAACTGGAATCACCAGGGCAAGAGGTGCCAAGGTAGACTAAAGACAACTTGGAAGTGCATAACAGAAGCAGAAGTGAATGTTATTTAAATGAGATGGGAAGAAGCAGCAAAAGACCATCAAAAATGGAAGGCAGTGATGAAGGCCCTATGCTCTGCGTGGAATAAAGAGGCATAAGTCAAGTAAGTAAAGTCAGGGCTGAATAATACACAGAGTAATTATACCAGATTAAAATGATGTTGCTCTCATGTGTGCAGGAAATCATATTCCCTTTGTGACAATGCAGGGAGAAAACAGTTGAGCCTTCACTCTGCTCACTTAGATAGCAATTAGTTCACCAGGGAAAGCTGACTGAGGTAATCAGATAATCAGGCTGGCAGGCTGGGTGGGATAAAGAGCTAATTAGCCCATCAGCCCAAGTCTGATAAAGAGTCACAGGAAGGAACAGTTAGTTGAGCCCAGCCACAGAGAGACCTCAGGGAGGGGAGACCTCTGTTCTCGTCAGGTCTTGATGAGAGGACCAAAAGCACTGTGAATGCACGACGACTGAGGTCTGCACAGTTTCTGTGGGACAAGATGACAGGAGTAAAGGTGTGCCCTGTTAGACCCTTATTTAACAAATCAATGCAGCTTCCTATTAGATTTTGCTAAGTAATAGAATTACATTGCCATCATGCTTGTGCTAGATCCCTCTTTCATATAATTTATTTTCCAGCCAGTAACATTGATAGTTTTACTTTTAAATAGATTTAAATTTATCTTCAGTTTGATCACAGCTTCAGCAAAACAATTTAAGTCTATTTTTCTGCAAAACTCCTTTCTAAGAGAGGATCAGATTCCCCTGACATAATGACATTTGGTATAATTTGCCTGTCAACATCAAGGCCCCTTTTTCACGTTCTCTCTTACAGATTGTGCTCAAGGAAAAGTGCATTATGTGTGCAGTGTACCACTGAGGGACCTCAGAGTGCTGACAGCCCAAAAGCACAACCAGAGTCACTAGGAGTTAAGATGCATTCAACACCTTGCAGGATATACTCAGCTCCTCATAGGATCAGCTCAAATATGCCTCACTACAAGAGTGAGCTCTTGAACTGATTAGAATGGGTTCAGGGCAAACATAACTAACATAGGCAGCATGGAAAATGTCTAGATGAACTGATCCTTTTCTCCTCAATTTACTTCCACTTCACACAAACAAAATAGTCTCTCATATTTATTATTTTACATGGTTCACACCAGAAACACAATCATCAATCTGAGGTGATGGATCCCATACCATTCAAAGCATCCTGCATTACTGTTTTACCTATAATCCTCATTTGGGGTTTTTGTCCCACTCTGTCCCTAATTTGGGTTTAGGCAAGAAGTACTGTCATTTTGGAGGTGTGGTGAACCCTCCAAGAACTGAATAATTCTAATCCTCTGTCACAAGCCTGGGTTTCCTATGATCCAGTCTTAGAAACCTGCTGCCACCATCAAACTTCTCAACTGGAACTTAACCTTGGGGCACCCCTCTCCCTCTCCCCTCTTTACAAGGATTCTGTCCCCAGGAACGCTGGTTCACTGACAGGTATGCAATGCTTAATTTGTAATGAAAGAGGTGCCGGGACTCAAGCAATTAGGTGTTCGGGATCAAGCAATTTTTTTACATTCATAATTAATTCAGCAAGCCTAGAGGTGCCGGCAGTATGAACTGACAAGCCTAGAGGTGCTGGGGCTCAGTTCTGGCAAGCCCTGGCACAAATTAGACACTGCAGGTATGATAGGTGTTCTTCAAAGGCAGCTGCAGAAGTCACCATTTACCATATCCCTGCTGTAGACCAAATGATTGCATTTGTAATTTATTATTTACAATTAAAACCTATGAGTGAACTCTGGTACTGACCATCTTGAAATGCCCACTGTTCTTGTTCTGGAAAATCAGATACAGATGACAAGCATGTCTGCCACTCATCACCACTCCTGGTGAAGGATTGAAAGCATAAAACTGACAAACTGTTGGCCTCAGCAGCTATAAGCAGAAGAATGTTTAGAAAATAGTTATAGCTAAAGATGGTCAAAAAACAGTACATATATTTTGTGAAAAATCTGAACACAAGATTTTTTATTTAATTTGAAAATTTTCATGTTTTTTTTAAATTTTCTGTTCCTGGCCTGGTCTCCAGCCTACTTTGAGTGACAGGTTTCAAAGTGGTAGCAGTGTTAGTTTGTATCAGCAAAAAGAATGAGGACTACTTGTGATACCTTAGAGACGAACACATTTATTTGAGTATAAGCTTTCATGGGCTAAAACCCACTTTATCGGATGCAGTGGAAAATACAGTAGGAAGACACACACACACACATGAAAAAATGGGTTTTTTGAGTGAGTGAGCCTGTGTTGGATAGCCTATGGCTGTTCTACAGAGTACCTGCACAGGGAGAAACTCTCCCCTGGTTAGCTAAGGGATTTTTACGGCCCCAGTATGCCCTATGTCCCTGCCTTTTGTTAAGGAAAAATTAGCACATGTGACTCCATTTTGGTTTGGGGCCCACCATTGTTTAAATGCCAGCATATCATACACCAGGAGGAGTAATCCTTAGATATTGAATCCCTGTGAAAATCCTCCTCCTTGTCTCCAGCCTGCCTTGACTCCCAGTATCTGGTTTTTGTCAGTCTCTAACTCCCTGTCTCTTGGCCTTGATGTGAGGCCTCCCATCCTGATAATAAAAGTTACTGATGCATAGCTTTAGGACCATGCTGTGTAATTAACATACTGGTATAGCACGAGGAATGCACCAAGCAGGGATAGGTGGTAGATAAGACAAGGGTTTGTTTATTGGCTAAGGTTTCCGATGCACGAGGGCAACATGCTTTGCTAAAAGGTATATAACCTTTGTATAATCTGCATTCAGGGTCCCCTCCTGGCTAGCAGGGGGGCACCACGCTCGAGCGTAATAAACTTAGTGTCTTTTGGGAACTCTGCAGTTGTGGACTTTGTTTCTGTGCCTCAGCCTAGATTCGAACTGTGCGTGTCCTATCAGGTATAATTCGCAGCACTGGTGTGCGTGTCCTACCAGGTATAATTCGTAACACTTTGTTTTGGTGGAGTCAAAGACTGGTTCTGCTCTGTAAAGAGACTCTAAAATTGGTATTATGAAATTCCATGTTTTTAGTCCCTCAGTGACTTCCACATCAAATTTGCTGAGGATATAAGATAAAAAGATAGTTTCCTTCCTGCCTAACTGCTTGGGATCCAGAAGATTAACCCACAATCCCTGGTTTGAGTCCCATCTGGGGTGCCATTCTGTAGCCTCTGTTTAAATTGAATTAATAGTTCTGTCCTAAACCACAATGTCCCTAGTAAGTCCAGCTCTTGTGTTGCTATAGTTTTAAGATCAACAAAGTGATAGTTACCCTTAATGATTCTCTTAGGTTGGGAGACTCTAGGAGTACATGAAGAACAAATACAGTGACCATCACCACAGTTACAAATAAGTCTTGTTTGTATTATAAGTTACACTCACATGCAAGTATACAAAACTTGAGAAGGTCCACATGATGGCAAAGGCTGTATTTATACTCACATACCCAAAGATATCATAGGGTTTGGTGGATTTCTTAACAGATGGTGTTACGATGAGTGACTCACTTCTGCGGTACCTCCTGCTGGCTGGCAGGGAATTAGCTTGTTTTCCAGCTCTGGAGCACCCTCTGCAGGCCGGTGCCATCGCTTCCGGACCCTGGTGCCCCTTTTTCTGGGGGTTCTGCCCCAGCAGTGTCCTCTCAGTCTCTGAGTCTTCCCGCTCTGGGGAACTCCCAACCCCCTAATCCCACCTTGCCTCAGTGCCTACTGCCAGTCACCATTTAGCCCCTGCAGAACAGCCTCATTTAACTGCTCTATTTTCCTCCTTAATTTCGTTCCACAGTACTGCATACAACATATATACAATCCAGTTCTATATCCTTCACCTCATGAGATTTTTTTCCTTGATTTTTCTTTCTCAAAAATACATTAGGTCCTATGTTTAGGTTTAGGTGGTCTATGTGTACGGGGAGACTTTGACAAACCAGTAAAGTGCCTGAAACCACTATGGTTTATTGCTAAAAGCAGCCAAGTCAGCAGGCTGCAAATTGGCCATTCAGCATTCTCAGTTTGACTAAGGCAGGAGGGGAGGGGGTTTGGGGTGCCACAGAAAAGGGCAGCTTGACCCCATGTCCTTCTGATAAGAATTGTGTTGAAGTTGCTGATCCTGCTCTTCTAAAATGCATGTATGAGCCACAGGAATGTCTACTGAGGCCTCAAGGCTGCAAACTCCGGAAAAACCCACACCTAGTTAATCAATAATGAGAAGGAACCTCTTGCTTGACCATTGAAACTGCTTACTTAACAAGTTTTCTTTAAGGGACATGTCATTCTATTACTAATGTACAAATAAGGGGGGGAAGTTTGAGGTAGTTGGACTCTTTTTGGACTCTCCCTCTGGATACATCTTGAGTCCCAATCGACAGACGGAAGATTTGGCCACCAGAAGCCTGCCACTGTGTCACTCGAGAACCACACTCAGCTCTGGTAATTATCAAGGGTTGGGGGTTGTGGCAAATTGCCAGCACTACTATGATGGGTCTCGCGCTTTCTCTTCTTGGGGAGGATTCAGGGCACCGTTTCTTGCCCCTGAACTGGGGTATTAACTGCTCCACTAGTGTCCTAGAGGAGGGGAGTGGAGAGGGAGGGACCCAGGCCCACCCCCTACTCCCGGTCCCAGTCCAGGGGGCCTAGGAATAGCGGTAAACCGCTTGAACTAGCGGTTCCTTCCCCTGGGCTACTTCCCTCTCCTGCCCTTCAGCTTGTGGGGCTTTCTGCCCTCCCTCAGCACAAACCAGGTGTCCCTTTACCTAGAGTCTTGGTCTTCTTAGCCCACCACAGCACTTCTCCAAACTCTCCTCTGCTTCCCTCCAAACTGCTCTCTGCTCCAACACCAATCCACTCTGCTTCAATTCCTCCAAACTGCTCTCTGCTCCAACACCAATCCACTCTGCTTCAGCTCCTCCTCTTGTCTGATTGAAGCAGGGGGGTTTTATCATGTAACTGGCTTCAGGTGCTCTAATTAATCTATAGCAAACTTTCTTCCCTCTGGCTCCCTTCTAACACTCTCCTGCTGCCCTCTGGCCATGCTGTATCACAGGGTGTTTTACTAACCTGTTGCAGACATGTGTAAGTGCTTGAGACTAAGCAAAGTTTAGCTTTAAGTGAAAGCACTCTTGTGTGGTCCTGTTTGTGCCAGCCATCTATCGGTTGGACAGCCGTGTCTCCCCTGATTTATTTCCTGACACCACCTTGCACAGAGTAAAAGTTACCAAGAGCTTTGGGTTGAAAGAACTCCGGGTAACATGAAGGTTTGGCTGTCCAGTATCTCTGCTTCCCCTGCACCAGGGGTTTTGATATAGTCCTGCCCAAAAGGTATGACTATATGTGGTACCACTATATCACAATATCCCCCTTAAACATTACTCATTAACAAGACAACTTATCTATTTACTATAACTACCATGTTTACGAGAGGATGTAGATCCCCCTTTTAATTTTCCCTTGAGCTCAGTTCCTACAGCATAATACGTAGACAGACAAGAAAAACCACAACAATGATGCAACAGCAAGCACACAAAAAACTCCCCTGGAAGTTCCCTGTTTTAGGTACCGTGAGTGTGACGCAGTCCTTCTACCTGCATTAATTCCGACAAGGATTTGTTTTCATCTGACTAAGTCCCTTAATCATTCCCCTTTTATCCTAGGGTAGTCTCTACCCTTCCCTCCACCCCTGCCATTTTTTTTCCTTTGTGCCTTCTAGAGTCCTGTCTGGGGAACCACTCTGGAGCCTCTATTTTAAACTGAATTGATAGTTCTGTGCTAAACCACAGTGTTCCTAGTGAATGAGTCCAGCCCCCGTGTTGCTACAGTTTTAAGATCAACAGAATGAAAGTTACCGTTAGTAAAATTACCCAACTCTTATGTTGGGAGGCTCTAGGAACACACAAACAATGAAACACTGACCACAAACACACTGTGGTCCAGGTAAGGAATCTTGTTGTTATTATAAGTTTTACTAAGCAGATGATTAAGGTTACAATCACACACAAGTATACAACACCTGAGAAAGCCCATGCAATAGCCAATGCAGTATTCATGCTCACATACCCAAAGATATTGTAGCATCTGGTGGATCTCTCAACAAGCGGTCATTGATAGAGCAGTGATTCCTGCTGGGGTCTTCCCACCCTGTCCGTACCAGGGAACCCCTTTTATCCTGTTGTTCTGACCATGCATAACACCTTATGCATATGCATGAGGGTTCCAACCTCTTTTTCCTTATCTGTACTTCCACATCCCATACATTTTGGAGTGCCCTGCTTTTCATAGGTTGTTCTCTTAGTTTCCCTTATTCTCATTAGCATCTCATTAACATCCATGTAAACATGTTCCCATGGTAACCTGTGGCAAAAGCAGAACTTTCCATGGTGTTACAATCAGTTGTCTTGCAGTCTAGATGGGTACACTGTGGCATATTTTCCTGAACATCACCTAATGGCACATTCTTTATAGTAATTTTGTAACTTTACTGGCACAGTTTTATCCTAGGTCATCTACTTATGTCAACCCTCCTTAAGCCTGAGGCCTCATATGGCTATGCTGAAATCTGACAGACCTCTCAGCCTGTAGCCTTGCATTACAGCCTTGCTTTACTTATACTCCTAATTCACACTCATCACTCCTGAATATTTACCAATCTTATACTCCAATAATCCTATGCTAATTATATGTACAATTTAAATCTATTCTTCACACATTACCTATGAAATAACATGTGAGTTAACCACAATAGAAAACACAATTAAATGATAAAATAAACTAATTGGCTGCCAGATTGAGTGTTTATTTCTTTTGGTATAATTACTAGACACAAGCTCATACCAAAACCCTGGCTCCTGGATCATTTCTTATAAACTGCTAGAGATAAAATTCAAGATGTTTGCTCTACAGAGGTATTTCCTTCAGATGAACACAGAAAAGGACAATGTTATCTAAGCAGGAAACAAATATTCAGTGTCATCATCTCAGAAGACAACAAACAACCACCTTCCCTCTCCACTACATAAAAGCCTACAGGCATATTTCACAAGGTGAAATAGCCATATTTCCAACAATCTTCACTTAACGTGAAAACTGCTCTGCACACTTCCACTACCTCAGATCCAGGCGTAGGAAGCCACTTTCAGAGGTAATGTAAATTTCCTAAGGAAATCAGTAACTTCCACACTAAGGAGACAGAAGGGAAGAATTGTAACAGGAGAAGCAACAGAAAGGAGGAAGTTGTGAGATCCAGTTCACCCTCCACTGACCCCCAGCATATGCATTACACTGTCATTGACTCACTGATCTGTAACACACCATCATTTACAGCACTCCTAAATTTGGCTCCACAGCATTTGCACATAAGTAACTCCAGAATTTTGAATAATTACATCCTGCAACATAACTTCTATTAGTAATTTTGCCTTAGAGAAGTTATTATCCAGCATGCACTACTCTACAGCACAGAGCTCACTTCCTGCTGTCTGAAGCAGCCACATTGCCAACTGCAAGGATTATCCTGCAACCTTTGTCAAATGGTTTTAATAATTAACAGCATTCGGGGGGGCACACAGGAAGGACATGCACAAATCCTATTAAACCATGGGCCATGCATGGCTTTAAAAAAATTAATTTACTGATTTTCATTATTAAAGCTGATTAGTCTCACTCAAATCAAATCCCCTCTGGGGTCTTCTATAGTATGAACACTTAGCCCTGGTCTACACTACGAGTTTAGGTCCAATTTAGCAGTGTTCAATCAATTTAACCCTGCACCCATCCACATAACGAAGCCATTTTTGTCGACTTAATGGGCTCTTAAAATCGATTTCTGTACTCCTCCCTGACAAGGGGATTTGTGCTGAAATCAACATCGTGGGGTCGAATTTGGGTTAGTGTGGACGCAATTTGACAGTATTGGCCTCCGGGAGCAATCCCACAGTGCTCCACTGTGACCGCTCTGGACAGCACTCTCAACTCGGATGCACTGGCCAGGTAGACAGGAAAAGCCCCACAAAATTTTAATTTCATTTCCTGTTTGGCCACTGTGGCGTGACCACACAGAGCTCATCAGCAGAGATGACCATGGAGTCCCAGAATCGCAAAAGAGCTCCAGCATGGACCGAACGGAAGGTACTGGACCTGATTACTGTATGGGGAGACAAATCTGTGCTATCAGAACTCCATTCCAAAAGACGAAATGCCAAAATATTTGAAAAAATCTCCAAGGGCATGAAGGACAGAGGCTACCACAGGGACCCACAGCAATGCCGTGTGAAACTTAAGGAGCTCAGGCAAGCCTACCAAAAAACCCAAGAGGCAAACACCCACTAGGGGTCAGAGCCCTAGACATGCTGCTTCTATGATGAGCTGCATGCAATTCTAGGGGGTGCCCCTACCACTGCCCCTCCCCTGTACGTGGACTCCTGCAAGGGAGTCTCACGCAACAGGGATGAGGATTTTGGGGATGAGGAAGATGATGAGGAGAGGGAGGTTGAAGATAGCACACACCAGGCAAGCGGAGAAACCATTCTCCCCGACAGCCAGGAACTGTTTATCACCCTGGAGCCAATACCCTCCCAACCCGAGCTCCCGGATCCTGAAGGCGGAGAAGGCAGCTCTGGTGAGCGTACCATTGTAAATAAAATACATGGTTTAAAAGCAAGTGTGTTGAATGATTAATTTGCCCTGAAGACTTGGGATGCATTCACGGCCAGTACAGCTACTGGAAAAGTCTGTTAACATGTCTGGGGATGGGGTGGAAATCTTCCAGGGACATCTCAATGAAGCTGTCCTGGAGGTACTCCCAAAGCCTTTGCAAAAGGTTTCTGGGGAGGGCAGCCTTATTGCGTCCTCCATGGTAGGACACTTTACCACAGCAGGCCAGTAGCACGTAGTCTGGAATCATTGCATAAGAAAGCATGGCAGCATGTGGTACCAGAGTCACTACCCTTGATAGCAGCAACTCAGTGATTGTGTTGGCTACTTGGATCACAGCAGCCCCCACAGTAGATTTGCCCACTCCAAATTGATTCCCGACTGACCGGGAGCTGTCTGGCGTTGCAAGCTTCCACAGGGCTATCGCCACTTGCTTGTGAACTGTGAGGGCTGCTCTCGTCTTGGTATTCTTGCACTTCAGGGCAGGGGAAAGCAAGTCACAAAGTTCCATGAAAAAGTGCCCTTACGCATGCAAAAGTTTCGCAGCCACTGGGAATCATCCCAGACCTGCAACACTATGCCGTCCCACCAGTCTGTGCTTGTTTCCCAGGCCAAGAATCAGTGTTCCATAGCATGAGCCTGCCCCATTGCCACCAGGATGGCCAAATTGCCGGGGCCCGTGCTTTGAGAGAAGTCTGTGTCCATGTCCTCATCACTCTCGTCACCGCACTGCCATCGCCTCCTCGCCTGCTTTTGCAGGTTCTGGTTGTGCATATACTGCATGATAACGCACGAGGTATTTACAATACTCATAACTGCCATGGTGATTTGAGCAGTCTCCATGCTTGCCATGGTATGGCGTCTGCAGGAAAGCAGGAGAGCAGAGTTGCAGGGGAAGCGGTGGTTGGATGACCAGTTTTGCAGACCTACTGCACCGTCTGCTGCCAGGACACAACAGCTGAGCGGGCTGCATGCTTGCCGCGGTATGGCGAGACAAGAGCAGCCAAGCAGAGTTGCAGTGAAAGTGGCCCTGCGAGACCACCAGGAGAGCAGAGTGCCAGTGGAAGCGATGGATGACGACAATGATTTGCAGACCTACTGCATCATCTGCTGAAAGCAGTATGGCGCCCGCATGGAAAAAAGGTGCGAAACGATTGTTTGCCGTTGATTTCACGGAGGGAGGGGCGACTGAGGACATATACCCAAACCCACCCGTGACAATGTTTTTGCCCCATCAGGCATTGGGAGCTCAACCCAGAATTCCAAGGGGCGGCGGAGACTGCGGGAACTGTGGGATAGCTACCCACAGTGCAACGCTCCGAAAATCGACACTAGCCTCGGTACTGTGGACACACTCCGCCAATTAAATGCGTTTAGTGGGGACGCACACAATCGACTGAATAAAATCACTTTCTAAAAAATCAACTTCTATAAATTCAACCTAATTTCGTAGTGTAGACATACCCTTCAAAATGTCTGGCATGCTTTATCCTTTGTACATTACCAGAAACAGCTCATGAAAAATTATTCATTGAAGTATGCTGCTAAAACGTTTTCATTTCAGTCATTACTGCGGACATCTAATGTAACGGATTGCCTTTTTCCTCACTGTCAGGCCAAACTAGCTCCCAGGACCAGCAGAATGGTCCTGCCATGGCTTATGATCGCCCATCTCAACGGCTCCCACTGCCCCTTGTTCCCCATACAGAAGAGTACGGAGTCACCTGCCACACTCTGACCTGGCTTTCACACCCCTCCCCATTAAATTGTGTTGCCTTTTGCTTTTGATGTGTGGCATATCTCTATGTGCAGAGCTCAGCAACCCTTTTGTTCTCAGAGAATTGAATCTAACTGCACAGAGGATACACACTGAGCTCCTCCTTTGCTCTGTGTATGTGAACCACTCTCCTAGCTCCCTGCCAGGGAAGGGCACTCACCACTCCCAACCACACTCCTATTCAGCTAATCAGATAAAATAAAATTAAATCTTGAGCCCAACAGGATTTGAACTTATGTAGCCCAGGAAGAGCAGCTGGCCCTGTTATCTGCAGTGCTGCACTGCAAGGAGAACGGATAGCTTCTTACTTACCTGACAATAGTTATTTTCCATTTCCTTTTATCATTTAGATACTTAATAAAGGTTTTTCACATTTTAAAAAAAGTAGCAATTTCAAGGGTCAGCTTTGAAAATGGTTCATTTGCTTGTTTGGTTTTTGAAGGGCTTGAATGTTTTTGTTTTTTTTTCAAGATATGCACAGACTGGATATCAGACCCACATGCACAGCTTCATTATGCATGGAATAAGGCCTTTTAGCCACTTTGCTGAAATCACTAGCCAAATGACTGGGGTCATTTTCTCTGTAACCTATTCTCTATAGCAAGGGAAGTCAATAGGCAGACCGCAGGCCAAATATGGACTGACAGATGAATTTGAACAGACTGTGAAATATTTTTATGTACTTATTATCATTATTGCTATTATTTTTGCATTAATTTCTCTGGAGTCTGAACCTTGATTATGCCTTAACCAAGAAATTTGGACCTTGATAAAAAAATAATTGATTACCCCGATATATAGTATTTCCTGTGTACCAGAACTCCCTTTATGTTTACCGTAATACCATAGCTAGATCACAGTTGAACAGACAGACTCATCTAGATCAACTCTTTCAGATTTAAAAACATATTTAGAAAAACTCACCTAACAATACAGTTTTTCACGCTTGGGTTTTATAGAGCTCTCCAGCTGAAACATGACATCCACACTAAAAAGCACTGGGCAGAAACAAATAAACTCATATCCAAGACTGAAAAGAGACTGCAAAAACTCAGAACTTCTGAAAATAAAGCTTTGGCTCTAGTCAATCCAAGGACTAACTTCTGTCACAAAGACTGTTACAAGAAATAATTTGCTCTCCATACCCTGAACAAGTAACAAATAATTTACTTGTATCCATTTACTTATAAGGCTTGTCAACACCGTGCCACAGTCCAGACTCTAATGGCCCCATGTTATTTTAAAGTAATTGGTGTCCATTTAAATTTGTTTCTATTTTCATTTGTATGTTGTTTACTCAAGACGGTCCCTTTCACAGGAGTAGGATGCACTGAAGAAATATCTGTTACAGGATTTCCTTGCAAATGGTAATTTCTGCAAACAATTATATACAAGTGAGCTAGAGGGAATCACACACTACTCTATAAAAGAGTCTTTCATGACCAATGAAACCCCATTAACAAGTTAAGTAAGAATTTCCCAAGAGTCTGGTTTTAGGCAGCTCATTGTTTTCAATTATTTCCTGTCTAAACTGTTCACCGCTAAAGAGGCATGTCAAAAATAAAGTCCTGTACTCCAACCGCAGGAGATGTGAAGGCCCTTTGGCAAAGTCTCAGGTCTGGTCTCCACTACAGAGTTAGGTTGACAGAAGTCACCTTAATTCGACCTAATAATGTGTGCATCTACGTTACCAGGTCCCTTCCTTCCTAAGTTGACTGTAAAGTTGACTTCTGTACTCCGCCTCTGCAAGAGGCGTAATGCTTAATTCAACATCCACGGGTCAATATAGAGATAGTGTAGATGCTGCATTGTGTAATTCGAATTACTTGGCCTCCAGGAGATGTCCCACAATGCTCTGCTGTGACCGCTCTGAAAATCACTTTCAACTCCACTGCACGTCAGCCAGGTAAACAGGAAACAGCCCCTCCCCTGTTAGAGCCCTGGGAACTCTTGAATTTTCATTTTCTGTTTGATCAGCATGGAGAGCTCGCCTGCACAGCTGATCATGGAGCCTCAATGCTCCAAATGTGCTCCACCATGGACTACACAGCAGGTGCTTGATCTTATTGCTGTGTTGGGAGAAGAGTTTGTGCAGTCACAGCTGAGATCCAGCCGAAGAAACGCAGACATCTATACAAAGATCACGCGGGACATGGGGGGGAAGGGCTACACCAGGGACACGCAGAAGTGCCAACTGAAAATAAAGAACTTTGGCAAGCATACCAGAAGACAAGGGAGGCAAATAGTTATTCTGGTTCTGCCCCACAGACACGTTGCTTTTACAATAAACTTTATGCAATTCTTGGTGGCAACCCCACCACCACCCCAAAACGCAGTGTGAATACCTCCCAGGAGTCTGGGTCCCAGCCCACCTCAGGCAACAATGAGGAGGGCAGTGTAGAGGAGAAAAAGGAGGAAGAGAATGGGAGACAGGCCCTAGTAGCTGATCCATTCTCCCCAACAGCCAGGAGCTGTTTTTAACCACGGAGCCCAGCCGGTCGCAGGACAGAATGGTGGTCGAGCACAATGCTAGGGAAGGCACCTCTGGTGAGTATACATTTCCAGTGAAACTGAAGGGGTTACATGGTAATGTATTATATGTTTAATCAGAACAAAAACGGACGTGCAGAGGGTATGTGCTTCCCAATGGCCACTCCAGCTACGCTGATGGTGCTCCCTGAAAGAGACTGTTTATGTGCACAGGGATGGCACGAGAATCCTCCATTAAGATCTCCAAGAAACTCTGATGTAGGTACTCCACAATCCCTTGTAGAAGGTTTCTGGGGAGGGCTGCCAATCATTTCTTCCACCGCAATAGGACACTTTTCCTTACCACTCCAGTATTAACTCATTGTGGCACACAGCATTGCAGCATAAGGACCAGGTCTGTACTCAGACGATTGCAGCATCTGCTCCCTTGCTGTCTCTGTCACCCTCAGGTGACTGATATCACATAGGGTCACCTAGGGGATATGGGGGAACTTTACAGTACAAGTACTCAACCCACAAACAATAGAACAAGTGATCCACCCCCCTACAGTGAAATCCGGGTCCCATGGCCACACGGTCCCTAATGGCACTGTTGTTGTGGTTGGAAAGGATTGCCATATATTACACGCAGCATTAAGCAAATGGGATGGGGGAAGTCACACAAAGCCACGTCCACCACTGGAAAAAAAAAACAACTATTTTGGGACGCTTAACGCTGGTGCCTGTTCTCAAGCACCGTCCATGTTGCTAGGGGGTGGGGGTGTAGCTCAACTGCCCAACTGTGCTCCCGACGCGGGTTTGTCAAAAGTTGCAGCACAAGGCCTGTCGCCCATGCCTTGGGAGCCATACTCACCATGGCTGGACCAGCGAACCGACTCATGGAATACCTAGGGATTCTGATTACATTGTGGTTTGCAGTGAAGTTTTCACTGCAAAAATATGGGTTTATTTTTTTAAATATCAACCTTGCACTAGAAACATTCTATGCACTGACAATGGTTGCCTGGTATGCTTTACAGCAGAAAGCTTGTCCTTTGGAGCATCCTGCACACAAGGAGAGAGGCTTTCCCAGCTTCGATGGTAGAAAAAGAGGACTCGGTATGACATGTTCAGTGAGATAATGAACGCCTTTGGAACAGCTGAGATAGAGCTCAGGTCATGGATGATTTCACCCTCCGAAAAACTAGACATGGACATGGAGAGCATCCCAGGTGCAGGAGCATGCCACAGAGGAGGAGATACTGTGTATTATGAAGGACCAATCAGATTATGTTGAGGCATCTGGTTAAGCTTCAAGAAAGGCAACTGGATGTTAGACTCCCTCTGCAGCCAATGCAGAACAGCCTGCCAGCCAGCATCACCTTGTTCACAATCCTCCTCTCCCAAATATTCCATGAGGCGAGTGTGAGGGGAGTTCAGTATCCCTTCCACTCAACCCCAGGGGAGGGTACAAAGAACAGAAGGTGCCCATTCCAAGACCTTTGATGGTTAGGAGTGCAAACAAGCTAACTCGGTTTCTCCCCTCCCCTAGCCCGAGGTTACCTTAATTTTCTGTGTCTGGTGTGTGCATAATAAAAGAAAACAGTTTGAGAGGGAAAATGCTCTTTATTTATTCCACACATGCATGGGGGAGGGGGTTTACTGGGGAACTAATTTAATGGAGGGCATAGTTTGGGAAGGCACAGTACAGATAAATGTCACATTACTGTGGCTCATTGCTGAAACGGGTTTTCAAAGCCTCACGGAGACGCAGAGCCCCTTGCTGGGCTCATCTTATTGCTCTGGTATCTGGCTGCTCAAAATGAGCTGCCAAGCAATCTGCCTCCACACCCCAGTCCAGCAGAAACTCTTCTCCATTTACCTCACAGACATTATGTAGCACACAGCAGGCAGTGAGGACAATGGGGATATTGTATCAGAGGGGTAGCCGTGTTAGCCAATATCCACAAAAACAAGAGGAGTCCGGTAGCAGCTTAAAGACTAACAGAATTATTTGGGCATAATGGGGATATTGCTTTCACTGAGGTTTAACCTAGGCCTTGTCTACACTATGAAATTTTGTCAGCAAAAGTTATGCCGCTTTAATTAACGCACTTTAATTAAAACCGCTGTTGCATGTCCACACTAGCTCCTTGTGTCAGCAGAGTGCATCCACACTAACAGCTCTTGCATTGACACAGAGAACAGTGCACTGTGGTAGCTATCCCACTGTGCAACTGGCCGCAGGGTGCTTTGGGAAGGGTTTATAGTGCCTCATGGGGCAGATACTGCAATACATGATGCAAGTTTCTCAATCCCATCGTTCCAGGGGCATCCTAGTAGATTGTAAACTGCTTTTTCAAGAGTGTTGGGGGAAATAGAGGAGAGTGGTGTGTCTGGGCAGGAGAGACAGCAGGCTGACCGACCTATCCTGAGGCAGTGGGAGGGAAACACCCACCCATGTCAACCCCCTGGCTCTGCTCCGCACAACAGTCTCATTCTGCTTGCCTGTCTATGATTCTGTGATCCTCAGCAGCTCTATGAGCAATCTGTGCTGAGGAATGTCAAAGCAGCACAGCGGTCTCCCATCCCCGTGTTCCTTTCCTGGTGTAACCCTTCTGCCTGTCAGAGTTGGCAGCAACAAGGGCCGGATTCAGTATCTAGGGGTTCCGTTTCAATAATGCAATGCAAAACTGGCTCAAGCCCCCACCCAGTGACCTGGGACTATTACATACCTCCCCTCTCGCAAGCACAGAGTCTGAGTGTAGCAAAAACCTTTTAATAAAGAAGGGAAACAATGCAACATTATGTTGGGGAAACACCACAAACAGGATTCATAACACCAACTATGAGCAAAAGACCCACCCCCAAGTAAGTTTGGCAGTGTCCTTTTCCCCACTGGGTCTTAAGTCCAGCAAGCCAATTGTCACACACACACACACACACACACAGTTTCTGTCCTTGGTCAGTGCAGCCCCCCAGAGTTCAGAAGTTCATCTGTAGAGTTTACCTCCCAGCCTCGGTGGAAGTGGAGGTATGGGGGGCATCTTCCATGCTCTGCTGCTCGGGTTGATGGCCAAGTGCCACACCTCTCCATGGGGTTCTGCTGCAATCTTCACCACCAGCCATGCTTCTCAGTCAGCTGCCCTGCTACCCACTCCGCTCTCCACAGATCTCCGCTAGCTCTCCTGCTGTCTGCTCCTCTCCGCCAGCCGCCCAGCTATCCGCTCCACTCTCGCCATCCTGCTGTCCACTCACCAACTTGTCTTCAACGCCCCTCCCCCCATCCACTACTTAACACAGCTCTCAGCAACTTCAGCTCTTTAGCAATTTCAGCTCTCAGTGATTTTTAGCTGGTAGCAGGGGGAGCCTCAGTGCTGGTGCACCACTAGCCCAAAGGGCCAGGTTCAGTAGGTGGCAGTGATTTCAGCTCTGCAGCACGTAACAAGACTCCTAATAGAGCCAAAATTAGCTCTGTTATTACACCATAGAGAGAAGAAGGGTCAAAGTAGTGTTTAGGGCCCACACTACCAGGTACACATACCTATCCCCAGCCTCTCTCAATTCACTGGGTTTTGGAACTCATGTCCCATGCCTAGCAAGTGCTACTTAGTTGAGGGCAAGTCCCTCCATCATAAAATGCCAAGTACAGTTCTATTGTCCTTGATTCACATAACCAGGGTAACAACCCTTTACTACTCCTGCCCCAATAACAGAGAGATTGGGGATCCCACAGCAGCCAAAGTGACAAATTTGGGCAAGCAGTCCCATCATGCTAGGCAGGGTGGGTGTGCCCATGCAAACGAGATCAGCCCCTGAAGTCCTTTTGCACAGCTCACCACCAGATGTCAGGGTAGAGCTCATTCTGACTCTGCTTACACTGGCCATGCCATGTTAATGTCAGTGAAACAGCCCTTGTGATCCACCAGCACTTGCAACACCATTGAAAAGAATCCCTTTCAGTTTATGTACTCTTTGACAAAGTAGTCTGGTGCCAAGATTGGGATGTGTGTGCCATCTATAGCCAATGCGCAGTTAGGGAACCCCATTGCAGTAAAATCATCCACTATGTCCTGCACGTTGCCCAGAGTCACTCCCCTTCTTAGCAGAAGTCTATTAATGGCTCTGCACACTTGGATCACAACAGTTTCCACAGTGGATTTACCAACTCTGAATTGATTCCCCACTGACCGGTAACAGTCTGGCGTTGCAAGCTTCCACAGAGCAATCGCCACTCACTTCTTCACTGTCAGAGCAGCTCTCATTTTAGTATTGCTGCGCTTCAGGGCTGGGGAAAGCTCTACACAAAGTTCCTGGAAAGTGGTCTTCTGCATTCAAAAGTTCTGCAGCCACTGCTCATCATCCCATAGCTGCATAACGATGCAGTCCCACCAGTCAGTGCTTGTTTCCTGGGACCAGAAATAGTGCTCAACCATGCTCAGCTGATGAGTGACTACCACCAACAATTGGGAATTGTTTCGCTCTACGGCTTGCAGCAGGGCTGCTTGTGTGATATCACACCTTTCCGCGTGGCGGCTCCTGTCTTGGCTCTGGACATACTGCAGGATAAGACGAAAGATGTTTGTAATGCTGCTGCCAAGAAGAGTGCAAAGCTGAGCAGGGTCCATGCTTCTTGGTCTATGGCATAAGCGTAATTAAAAAAAAAAAAAAGCGTGAAAAACCATGGGTGGTTTGCCCTTGAGATCAGGGAGAGAGGGAGGAAATTGCATTAAGGGAGGCCAAAGCCGTGTTCCCATTACCACCTGCGACAATGTTTTGGTCCCATGAGGCATTGCAAGCCCCTGTAGCTAGTTGCACTGTGGGATAGCTACCCATGGTGCACTGCTCTGTGAATCGATGCATGCACTGCTAGTGAGGATACACTCCGCTGAGACAATAAGCATGGTGTGGACATGCATGATTGATTTAATTAATTTGGAGGCTCGATGTCGACTTACATAAAGTTGACTTAACTTTGTAGTGTAAACATGCCCATAGTCACACAGACAAGCAGTGGAACTGCTGCTGTTCTACTGTGCTTAGGGCCTTCTGTAGCAGTGGAGAGCAGGGCAGGATTTACCCAGCAGGCTTTTGCCTGAGGGGTGAGCGCTTCATTTTGTTCAGCGACACAGTCAACTCAGGGACACTGTCAACTCAGCAACGTTTTCATCCATTTGGTGTTCTGTAGCTGTGTACGTGCACCACGAGCTTTTAACTGAAAAAACAAATACAACGCAATTGATATTCCCGTGCTGGATCAGCAGATTAGTGCATGGCAGAAGTGCTAGGTTCTCCTCCCACTGCAATCCCAAAGGATGTGAATTTTCCCTCCCTCGTTTTCTAATCAGCTTCTGTCCCCACCTAACAAAACAACGCAAAGTGCGTCACATGCGGCAATTCTTCTGAGAGAAGGGATGAGCTGCCCTGGTGATACAACCAGCCGTTACTCATGGTGGAAGAGAAGGGACTGCACCCCGGTTACTCTGCCCTGAGATCAAATGGGTCTGGAGGAGGAGAAGTCCTGGCTCAGGCACATTTCCCACCAACACTAAGTGCACGTGATAGAGTAGGTTTCTCCATGTAAGTGCAGGGGCAGGGGATGAAATAACTTAAACTCCCTCATGTCCTCATACCTATGGTAGAAGAGTGGAGCAGAGCTGTTTAACACAGTGCTGTCAATGCGAGTTTCTCAGTCACGCTGAACTCTGTGAACCTTATGAAAAGCATTACAACTATCTTATTATTCCTCAGCAGATCACAGAAAGGCTCCTAGCACCTCTGAGCACAGTTGGTCCTGGGCAGTGGGGCCCAGTGCTCAGTGTTCCTCCCAGCTCTCCATATCCATGATGAGCCTGTGGCAGCCTCCTGTCATTTGTGACCCACTTTCGGCTGTAACAAATCCACACCCTGCAGACACCTATTCATTTTGCACAGGATACACGGTCTTTGAAGCCTATCCACACCCTTTTATGGTTGCATTCCTCAGTCCACATTCTCAGCATCTGCCCGAACCTGGATGCCTTTTGCTGTACTGCGCCTCCTGGATGGGCGAGGGTGGAAAATGAGAGAGATGCTCCCTCTAGGATCCATTCTAAATATGGAATCTGCCTCGTGTAAGTGGCAGCACCTAGCTTGCGGGGTCACAGTACTTCCACTCAGTGATGAGCTGCCAAAATCTTAACAACCGGTTCCCTCCTCACCCCACGAGGGGGTGGTGGCCCACCCCCGCCCCCCCGGGACTCCTACCCCATACAACCCCCCACGTTTCTTGATGGACACCCCCGGAACCCCTGCCCCATCCACTCCCCTCCCCTGTCCCCTGACTACCCCCAGAACTGGGCAGGAGGGTCTTGTGGGCCACCGTAGGGGGGGGCGTGAAGAAGCAGAGTGGGGCGGCGCGTACAGGGGAGGAGGCGGAGGTGGAGTGGAGGTGAGCTGGGGCCGGGCGGGACGGGGAACTGCCGGTGGGTACTCTGCACCCACCAAATTTTCCCCATGGGTGCTCCAGCCCCGGAGCACCCATGGAGTCGGCACCTAAGGCGCCACTTTTGGCCGGTCGTTAAATTTAGAAGCCCTTTTAGAACCGGTTGTCCCTCGTGGACAAGCAG